TAGCAAAGAGATTGGGAGATGGTAGCCAGAGGCATAACAAAAGAGAAATTCAAGGATTCTGTGGCCAAAGATAAGAGAATGGTGGATTGTCTATAATGGTCAGTAGCCTGTGGCTGCACTAGGCGAGAACCAAGCTCACTCCCACAGGGCACTCTTCCCTGTACTGCCTTCCTACATAGCACTTGGTGTTGGGATGGACCAATAAAGGCTCTGACAGCCTCTCCGGGAAGGAAGGACATAAGGAGGGTGTAGCTGACCAGTCTCCAGCTTCCCGTCCACAATGGGCAGAGTGTAGGTTGGGCGAATGGCTGCACTGAGATGAGCTTCTTGCTGCCTCTTCAGCCCCATTTGGTCATATGGGTGCCAGCAGAGTGCAAGGACATGTTTATGTTGAGAAGAATCAATTCGCTGGTCTGTGCTCAGACAGTTCCCAGGAATTGCTGCAGTACCATAGGCCCAAAAATAAAAGCTACATTCTCCTGTTGCCATTGTTCGAAAAGATGCTTGAAATGCTCTTTCCAAAAAAGTCATGGATAGATTTCTGGTAAGATGGAGGAATAGGCAGACAAGCGACACAGACCCTCTTCAACAAACAAAAGAAAAACCAATTGACAGAGATACAGAATATAATCCTGGAACCCTGAGCTTTGAAAGGAACTATACAGAAATGGATTAGGCACCAACTAGTGGAAAAACCTGAATGAAAACAGTGAGTACAGAGATGGTCGGAGCTGCGGACTGTCAGCTACTCTGATGGGACCACAGCCCAAATATTTCCAAGTGTTGTTGGGACCTGAGAATTGACCTAAAGATCAGTCCCGGTCACCAGGAGCTGCAGGGACAATTGCTCTGGTGGCCTATGACTAGGAAGGAAAACAGCAAGGAGGAAGACAACCTGAGCTATGGACTTTCTGCTGTCTGGAGGGCACAGCCATTTTGATTGTTTACACGTGGCAGACATTTTGGATATTTAAAGTGACCAAGGGTGCAGCCATTTTCAATGTTTACAAGCGGTGGCCATTTTAGATATTTAAAGTGACTGAGGGCACAGCCATTTTGAATGTTTACAAGCGGTAGCCATTTTGGATATTTAAAGTGACCAAGGGTGCAGCCATTTTCAATGTTTACAAGTGGCAGCCATTTTGAATCTTAAAATGATAGTATTCTCATTCGGATTCCAGGGACTTAAGAACAGGCTCTGTTTGCCAGGGTCAGCAAACACATACAAGAGGCTGACAAAGAAAAGGAGACAGATGGTGAGTGTATAAGTGCTGTCAACTAGTGAACAGAGGAGCACAGCACAGTACCCTGCCTGTATAGATAACATACAAACAAAACAAAGAAAATGAAAATTATGGGCAAGTCACTCAAACATTATCACGAATTAAATATAAACACAAAAACATCACAGTGCCTTGGAGACAACAGAGCATCATAGTCCACACAAAGAAGCAAGATAAAGCAGGAGAAACAAGGGACCAGGATACAGACCCAAAACACATCCCTGAGGAAGAAGAGGCAGCATTGGAACTCCCTGATAAGGAATTCAAAAGAATTATGTTTAGGAATCTTCAAAGAATTGAGAGACAAACCAAGGAAAGCACAGACAAAATCCTAGAAGAATTTTGGAAGAAAATACAAGAACAAAATGGCAAAATAAATGAAAAATTAGAAATGACTCTACATCTACAGATAGAAATCCAGAAGTTTAATACTAAATTGTCAGAAATAGATTACACATTAAAAGGGCAAAGGAGTAGAATTGATACAATGGAAAACAGAATTAATGAGATTGAAAACAAATACCTGAATACGTCTTTGGCAAGGGATCAGTCAGAAAAAAGATCAAAACAAAATTAAGAAAGCCTAAGGTTCCTGTGGGATACCATCAAAAGGAATAACTTAGTGTCATTGGAATTCCAGAACAGGAAGAGAAAAATGAAACCACTGAGAACATTGTCCAAGATTTGTTGGAGGAGAACTTCCCTGATATGATGAAAGATGAGAATATATCCATTCAGGAAATCCAACGAACCCCAAACAGGATAGACTCCAAAAGAAAAACACCAAGACATATCATCATCAAACTCACCAAAACCAAAGACAAAGGATCATGAGAGCAGCACAGGAAAAACAAAAAGTTACCTACAAGGGACAACTAATAAGACTAAGCTCGGATTTCTCAACAGAAACAATGCAGGTGAGAAGACAGTGGGATGGTATATGTAAAACACTGAAAGAGAAAAATTTCCAACCAAGAATTTTGTACCCAGCAAAATTGTCCCTCAAATATGATGGTGAAACTAGGACATTTCCAGATAAGCAGAAATTAAGGGAATTTGTTCAAACCAGACCAGCCTTACAAAAGATGCTAAAGGGAGCCCTTTGGACAGAGAAGCAACAACAGCCAACAACAACTGACCATCAACACACATGATGATATAACCCAGAAACCAACCCAGCTATGGAAGTATCCAAAGTAAATAAGCCTACAAGATTGTAAACAGGAAACCAGAGACCGCAGCCAACAAATGAGGACAACTACTAACCAAAAAGAGGTAAAGAAATCTGGGTCGTTACAGAACTTCTAGATGGTAGGGAAGTAAAGACAACTACAAGATAGAATGGACTGTTCTACACTTGGGAAGAAAACTATAAATCACAGGGTAACCTCAAAGAAAAATGATAAAACCTTCACATCAAAATAAAAAAGAGGACCAACATAAATATTCAGCAAATACTAAAACAATAGCAATTAAGGAAGTGATAACATGATTCATAAACAAAATGAGCTCAGCACAGAAGATTAAATGGAATAAAGAATTTGACACAATGAAAAAGCACATGACCAAAATGACAGCAACAAATTCATATTTGCTGATAATTACATATCTGGCAAGGGACTTATCTCTAAGATTGATGGAAAATTCCAACGCCTCAACACCAAAGGAATTAACAATCTAGTTGAAAAATGGACAGAAGACATGAATAGACACTTCACCAAGGAGGATATTCAGGTGGTCAGCTAATACATGAAAAGATGCTCACAATTATTGGCCATCAGAGAGATGTAAATCAAAACAACAATGAGATATACCATCACCCGCGCACTGATTGGCAAGGTTCAATGAGACAGAAAATAACAAATGCTGGTGGGGATGTAGAGAGATTGATACTCTCATACACTGCTTGTGTGACTGTGAAGTGACACAACCACCGTGGAAAGCTATTGCTTTTATGATTCCTTAGAAAGTTGGAATTGTAGATAGCATTTGATCCAGCAATCCCATTACTAGGTATATATCCTAGAGAGGTGAGAGCCAGGAAAGGAACAGATACATGCATGCTTATGTTCATCACAGCACTATTTACAATAGCAAAAAGATGGAAATAACCTACATGTCCATCAGTGGATGACTAAACTATGGTACATAAACATACTGGAATGCTATATAGCACTAAATAATAATGTAGAGTGTACAAAACACTGCATATTATTATCCACAGAAGAAGGTGGCAAGCAGATGTGTAGGGCGCATTGCCAGTGAGCACAGAAGAGGCACACAACATATTATTATGGATGAACTTGGAGGACATTATGCTGAGTGAAATAAGGCAATCACAGAAGGACAAATATAGTATTAGTTCATTGTTGTGAAGGGTCAAGGAAAGGAGGGAGGGAAACTTTGTTGATTGCCGGGGGGGGAGGGGAGGGGAGAGAACACTGCAAAAAAAAAAAAAGCATTGACCTATGTATCTTTAGTTTTGTGTATTTCACTGTACATAAATTATATTTCAATAAAATGCATTAAAAAATACCATGATGATTAGACAGATTTAAAAAAAAAAAGTCACTGATGTGAATTACCTCTAAACAGTTGAAGAAATATTTACTAATCCTTAATACATATTAAAGCATCTTTGATAAGCTTATTGCTGTATCACTTAGGTCTAAAACAGAAAAGACAGAGTCCTCCTGCCAGAAGCTAGTCTGTTAGGGAAAAAGCCTTGTATATCTGGTGCTTAAGAAAGGCTGGGGTTCTGAGCACCAACAGCATCAGTAGCACCAGACACATTTGGCTTTGTGATGAGAGAAGTATGCTGTCTTCCTGGCTGTTCTGCAGTCTTTCTGCAACAGACAATATTGCCAAGTGGGTTAGAATAATCTCTGGCTCTGAGCAAGTTAGTTTTTATTCCTTCCTCATAGTGAGAAGAAGGGAGAGGTCATTCCAACCTTCCAGCACCCTGTAATGGGATATTCATTCTGGACATTACCACTGTAGTGATGTGCACAGAAGAAGGTGGCAGTGAGCACAGAAGAGGCACCCTCGCCCAGCAGCACTCCTGCACGTCCCCTGGCCTTGGCACACAGCTGGTCCTCCTGGCCCTTGGAGGTTGGACACTTGCAGGTGGCCATACACTGGAAAGAATAGGCCACTGTCTACCAGCCCTGACCATATCTCCATGAAAGCCAGCAGAGGTCACAACAGTCAGGCCCATTTCATGACCTGGTTGTCTACTGGATAGTCTGTGTGCTGTTTAGTCCCTTAACTTCTCATGCACTTACTTCCCTGACTTCTTAGGGCTCTTGACAAGAGGCTTCTTCTCTGGGACATCCCTCCGGATACTGTGATCATGTGCCTACATGGATGCTGGACAAAGATGCCTGGTAGACAAAGGGACAGGAGCTGAACCCTAAGGAGCAGCTGGTGCTTTGCTGGTGACAGGGAAATGAGGGTCAGAGAGTCCATGTTGTGAGCAGAGACCAACGAGGCACATAGTGCCTCCTCTGGTCATGGGTTAATCTTTGGAATATGAGGCCTCCTGGCCATTTGTCTACCTTTGCAGGCTTCCCAAGCCAGCATGTCCTTCCCTGGGCCCCAAGGAGAGTTACCTGGAGGAAGCAGAAAGGACATGTGCCTACTGGTTGGAGTTCTGCTCTGGGAGGGATTGTGCACTGCCTTGTGGTCACATTTAATTTCTCTATTTTCTGTTTGTAGAAAGTCCATGAGATGCTGAAGAAGGGATGGGATGCTGAAGGCTCCCCCTTCCGAGGCCAGAGATTCGACCCTGCTATGTTCAACATCTCCCCCGGGGCAGTTCAGTTTTAGTGGCCGGAGGACCAGAGGCCTTCTCCAGCACGTGGAAGGTGGAAGCCACATGGCTGCACCTTGGCTTCCCTCCACGGCTCCCTTGCATGCCAGGAACCTTCATGCAATCTGCAAACCATCCCCCCCACCCCCGCCCTGTGCCCATCTTTTCTTTGAAGGGGAAACCAAGCCCTTCCTCAGCCTTGTACTTCCTCATGATGCTTTGAGGAGGCAAGAGGTAGGCTGCCACTGTAGACTCTGACCATGCTGATGGGCTCCTCTAAATGCAGGCAGCCTAGCACCAGGCAGTGTCTCTGTGTCCTTGGCAACACTCCCCACCCCCCGCTTGCTGCTGCACTTGTTTGGATGCACTTCGGCTTGCTTCTCTGGGTGGGGTAGGGCACTATTGCTGGGTGTCCATGCATAACTACAATCCGTGGAGTGGTTGAGCTGGATAGCTTACAGGAATGCAGTACTGGCGGTTCTGTGGCAGTTTCCCCTTGGCTGTTGTGAGAGCCCCTGACTCTTGATCTTTTGTCAGCATGTTTCCATGTGGTCCTGCCCATCACTATGCCATACTTGCTGTCCTGCCTCAATGCCTTTTAGGCACCGCAGAAACTGGGATCCTGGCGTCTGCATTTGTTGCTGTCTTACTTTGCTACTTCTAGATAATCTGGAAAAAGTCCTAAGCTCTGACATCAAGGCCAAGGTACAATAGAGCTTTCTGACTGCACAGGAGGATGTCCCTCCAGTCATACCACCCACCTCCTCAAGATCCAACGTGAGGCCAGAACTGTTCACTATACCACTATTCAAGTACACTCAACTTTGCCCATCAAACCATGTCTTTGGACCATTGGATGTGGCTCCTTTTAACCCCTGCTTTGGTTCTATCACACCTTCTGCATGAATCATGGCTTATGGGAAGCCTAGCCTCCAAGCAAAGACAGGAGCTTGGGGTCCATATAGGAAACTATGGCGTCAACCCTGGAAACCCTGCCATCATTCCTTACAGGGCCTGAGACAAGGCTTGAGTGAGAATCTCTGCCTCCTTTGCAGTGGAGCCACAGGGATTGAGAACCCTGCTTCCCTCTGGCAGCCACAGGGCTGGGGGCAAAGACCTCACACCTTTGCATCTACATCTCCAAATAGGAGCACTGCCCTTCCACTCCCCCATGACCTGCAATGCTCAGTTGAGCTGACTCAATGGCTCTGACTCAGTGTAAAGAAAGCAGACTTCAGCTTTTAGAGCAGGAAGCAGAGCGCCTCAGGAGAGTTCCTTAACACCCCTCAGTACAGTTGTTTCTTGGGAGATTTCTGGTTGACAGTGATCATTGACAGTCCCATCCCTCAGCAGCCCTTGTGGAAAAGCACCCAGGAAGTCTCCCATGGGTCTAGAAATGGTGTTCTTATGTCACAGTATGAGCCCGGGAGTGTTGGACCCCAACACTACTCCCTGTTAAATGTGAGAGGCCTGCTATCTCATACCAGTCACCAAAGCTGCAGTAAGAGAGCTGCAGGGCCTCTTAGTTGAGTGCTTGAATCAGGCAGGCAGACTTAGTACCTACAAGGGGTGGGGCTGCTTGTGCTAGGATCTGGGTGAGCCTTTGCCACTGTTTCCAGTCAAAGCAAGGTCCTCCTCTGATTTGCACATTTGTCCCACACTGGCTTTTAACATGTCTTGGCTAATTGCTTTAGCCATTTTAAGTGTGTTTCCCATTTCTCTGTAGTTCACTGAGGTGGACCACAAAACCTTGTAAGTAGTCTTTCAGAAGGAGTGAGGAAGTAGGGTGTAAAACCCTGTACCTCATCTGTTCAGGAGATTGAGTCATTTACTTCCATGGTAGATTGTCTTCCTTTTGCCCAGGTTCTCTTTTCCAGTGTTGCATTTTCTCCCTGTCCCTGACCTGCTTTGACGAAAATAATAAGCAAAGAGATGGGAAAGGTAAACTTGGAGAGCTGGTGAAGGTACTGAGTGCATCCCAGGACTGCCATTTGCACAGTGCAGCCCCGATCACCTGTCCCCACAGAATGTACACTCACATCCCCCTCTGTGCACACAGCCGCTCTTTGTGGGGCACCTCTCTGCTCCTACTCCTCCCAGATCAGCCTTGCCTCCGGGCCTGGCACATACTGCTTGTTTTCTCTTTTTAGACAGGACAGCAGTTTGGCAACTAACCCATCAGCTGAGGCTTCGAGGAAAGCAGGGCAGCTCACTCTCGGGTCTGGGAGCCCAGGAGAGAGGTGTCCAACCTGTCAACTTTCTCTTTCACTCCCTATGTTGGTTTCCAATAAATCTGTATTTAAGCAGCACTGGATCCAAGTGTGACATTTGCCCCCTGAGACAGTTCCATGTATACAGTTATTGCCCCTGGTTTCAGCTATGAGGGCTCTGGGCTCCTATATGTAGCAAACACAAAACAGGAATCCCTGGAAGGTATTACCTGCCTGAACTCCCTTGGTGTTTGTTTGGACATTAGACTTTGCTCAACTTCCAGAAATCTAATAAACTTCTAGTCCAAGAGACTTGGAGCTATAGATCGTATGTTGTTGTTATGTGCCGTTGAGTCAGACCCAACTCATAGCGACCCCTCTTGGGTTTCCAAGGCAGTATCACTACGGAAGTAGATTGCCCAACCTTCCTTCCAAGGAGTGGTTCATGGGTTTGAACCGCCAGCCTTCTGGTTAGCAGTCAAGTACCTCAGGCACTATGCTACCAGAGTTCCTGTATAGATCTTATATCCATTTCAAACAGGTTTTGGAATTCTGTTACCTCAATCCCTGAGGTAAAGAGAATTCAGAGTGCTTCCACTGGAGAGCTGACTTCTGTGACAGGGCTGGGCACCAGCACTCTTTGGCTCTGAATATGCCTGCCTCTAACGTTGGAGTTGGTCTCCTCCCTGCCCTCTGCATGCTCACCATGTCCCCATTGGGATGTTAGTGTTTCACAGGGACATGCCCAAACTTGCCCAGGCCCCCTCTTATAAGTGGAACTGCCCTTCCCTCACCTGTTTAAGGTCTTGGACTCTTCATACCAACCCTTCCTTCCCATTCCCCCAGTATCAGTGGACTCCACTGGGTCTTGTTCTGCTTCTAAGATAGCCCCCAGACTACACTGCCCCACACCAGGCCCACAGGTGGTAGGTCTGCAGCAGATGTTCTGTTCCTTACGTGCATGAGGAATGCTTAGAAGACTAAACAGTGAGGTTACCACTGGGTCAGAAATAATTTGACAGAAAAGAGAGGAATCTTCCTTTAATAATTTGCCCCTGAAGAGTGCAGGAGGGAAGGGAAAAAAAATGAAGCATTTTGTGTGAAAATATGTTCAGGAGGCATCATCTGCTGTATAAAGAACTCACTGCTTGGAACATTCAGCTTGGGGGAACGGAGCCACCCCCACTCAGCTCTGTTCCGCTGACAGGTGGCAGGCAACAAGCTTAGACAGGCAGTGGACAGCACAGAACCCAGCACCTCAGAACCAGGCAACCTCTGGTACAAAGGCTGACATGTCTATAGAGGGCACAATTCTGAGAGTGAGAGAAGAGCAGACTGGTGCCAAAGCTGATCAGAGACTCAGAGGATGCAGGGAATCCCAAGTGGCACTGTGTTATTAGTTCCATCCCAAGACCACACAGGGTCCTGGTGACTCCACTGGAAGCTGCACCTTCCACTTTTGCCCTGTTTGACTAAAGGATTTGTTAAGCCAGCTGTCCAGCCCATCCTGGTGGGGGTGGGTAAGAAATACCCCTTCCTCCAGGCCAGCATCTCCTTGCTGGGGAAGGCCAGGCCTCCCTACCAATCCTCAAATGACAGTGGGGCCACTCAGTTTAAGAGTTGAAAAAAATTTAATTTCAGACTCAACTTGCCCCTCATCTAGTCCACACTAATGTGGTTTGTTTTTGTTTGATTTCATTTTCATAGTTTTCTTTTAAGACTGAATGTTGAGCAGTCCAGTATTATTATCAGAAGGGAGAAAAGAGACCTGCAATCACAGAGCCCTTCTGCCTGTTGGCATACAAAAGCACCTGGTTTTTGGAGTTGGCCGGCCCAAGCCCCTGACCCAGGTTTGACCACACCTCCCACTGCCCTGATTGACTATGTATGGCAGGTGTGAGGGAGGGCCAGAGCCAGTTTGCAGTGTCACCCAGTACCAAGCATTTCCTCCTTGCAGCGGTGGCCAGTCCTACCAGGCTCCAGGTCATGGTCAGCATAGCCGAGGACCTGAGGGAGTGTGAAACAGGCTGTGGGTCACCCCTGGGGCTGTGTGGGCAGTGATGTTCTGCTGGCCCCAGCCCTACCTGGCTGCTGCTGCTACTCTGTGGCAGGTCCTGGGAGTGGCCTGTTGGCTGCATGCATGTAGACACTCTGGATAGACATCTCCCAACAAGGCCAGGTTCACTTCCCTGAGGACTGCTGTCAGGAGGGATGCACATCGCACGGGAGACAAATCCAGGGCCTTCCAGCCAAAACCAGGTCCTTCCGCAGTCACAAGCCTACTTCCTATGAATATCCTCCATCCAGGAGGGGAACCCTAGACTTTAAAGCCTGGAGCTGGATGAGAGGGGGCATAAAGAAATTTTAGTCCCACCCACCTCAGTTTACTATGGCCACAGAAGAAAAATGGCTTTCCAGGGTCACATGGCTGGTAACAAGGGAAGCCTGGACCTAGCATGGGGCCAAGCCCATGAAGCCCCCAATCCTCCCAGGGGATGCCAACTCTACCCAGTCACCCTCTTCTAGGGGCTCTGGGCTGTCCTTCACCTCCTCAGAGCTTTTGCCCAGCCACTCCTCTTTGAGGCCAGCAGCCTCTCCCTGCCCAGCTTGTTCATCTCTTTTTCACCCTTCTCTCTGGAATTAGAGTAAACCAGTCTATTTTAGACACTCCAGCCAGGCAGGCACAGCATTCAGCATGGGCTGTGTCTGGCTCTGTCACCATTAAAATGTCCTACAGATGAGGACCCAGGAACCACAGCCAGGGGCAGGCTTAGCCCTAGACCTTGCTCCCTAGCTGGGCACTGCTCTGCCACTC